GAAAGAGCAGGCTACTAAATCTTAGAACAGTAATAATCTGCAATATCCCAAAGGACAAAGAGGGATAATTGGCTTCTTTTTAGGAAGTATCTACAGACATAAAATTTTAGATGAAACCTTACTGAAACTAATGAATTATACTCCAACAGCTGAAATGTGGTTTTATCTTACTTAGCCCTAAATACACATAGTATATTAGAATGAATAGAATTTTATGAGTAAAAATGACACAAATCAATAAAAAGAATTATTGATAAAACATGTTTGCTTCAACTTTAAATAACTAATAAAGTTGTCTCAAAAACTGCTACCAATATTGTCTTCCATGTAATCAGAAAAAATTCTGAGCTTAAGCATTAAATTTATAAAATGCCCACTATTTTTGGATGCCTCAGTTTCTGTAGTCCTGCTTTATACAGCAACTGGAAATTAATGCTGATTAATTTCACTGTGGTGCAGTTCCTAAGTATTTCAAGAGAAAAATCAAACCCAGAAACTGCAGCAATCAAGTTCAGTGGACTCTTAAAAATGTTGCTGCATGTGACTTGCCTCTCGCCCTACCTGATGTATAAATATCAAGGATTAGAATTCAGTAATTTCTGCCTTCAAGTCTATAGTTTAGAGCAGGGGTTTTCAACCTTTTTTTAACAAGCATACCCCTTCTTTCTCAAAGTTTCTGCTCATGTACCCCTTTTATATTTTTTCTGGTTTTTAATGTTACCAATTATGTGATCTAAGGCAGGCTACACCAATTAACATTAAATGCATTATTAATATATGCATTATATATCTATATAGATAGATATATCTATCTCATAGGGGTGAGGGGGAAAAGATTGAGGCCCCTGCAGTGAGGGAGGGAGTGGGGCTGGGGCTGCACCAGGTTCTTCCTTGCAGGGGGCTGGGCCAGGCTGCATTTGGGGCAGGCAGTGGTGCTGGAAAGGGGGCTAAGGGGGCGAGGGGGGGGCCCCCAGCCACTCCAAAATTCACTGTAGTCCCCCCAACCCCTCCTCCCAGCACCGCCACCACCACCTGCCCCAAGCGCAGCCTGGCCCAACACCCCTGCTGGGAACACTGACTCATCCCCGGCCCATAGCGGCAGCCCGCCCTCACCCCACATGCAGATCTGGGGCACACACCGTCCTGGGGGTGCACGTAGCAGCAGGAGCCACCCCGCCCCCTCCCACAGGAGGTTTAGTCCCATACCCCGCTCCACCTGGGCAGCCCCTGCTCCAGCCCCACTCCCTCCCCCACCACTCGGGCCTTGATCTGCTCCCCCCTCACCCTTTCCCTCACAACAGACTTTCCAGCCAGACCTGGCTGCTCTCCTGGCCCCACTGTGGGGCTGCACTCCTGGCCACCTGCATGCTGCACTGCAGCTGTGTGCAATCACACAGCATTTATCAACCACATCAGCCAAAACAATTCAATTGCCAATACAGTCAATTTTCCTTATATTGGTGCCGATCCGATATGGGACCAATGATCTAATTTTTCTCATTCATTCTGCGTACCCCATACAACCTTTTTAAGTACCCCTAAGGGTATGCATATCCCCGGTTGACAATCACTGGTTTAGAGCACTAACTTGGACGGTATTAACTTGCAAGAAAATTCAGATGGGCAACAAAGGGAAGCAGATGCTTCAAGACACTACAAATAACCAGCAAAGCAATCAACCATGTACAAACACAAACCAGTTCCAGGTACGTGTCAATGTATGGGAAATGTAAGGACATCACTAAAATGTTGATAAATTCTGAATTTAAATGAAAAACTTTATTTACTAATCTGTATTTATATAGTTGCCAGATTAATTTATAAGTAGTTTACATTAACATTTGCATATCATGTAAAAATCAATAAGATTTCTATCCAGTTTTTTTTACCAATAGGAATGACTTCAACATTAAGAATATCTTATTTTGAAAAAAGCAGATTTACTATTGCTTTCAAATCATATTTTAGGTGTTCTATGAAAACATGTGTATCTTCCATGAAAAAATTGAGATCCCAGGATCACCCAATATGAGCCTAAAATTAACCAGCTAGAATGTCTCACAATCGCTAATGGAAAATGACAGATGTTTCTGTTAAGGCAAACAACAATCAGTGTCCAACACTTTGAATGTCAGTTTGAGCCATTTCACCTTCCCTGACCATGATCTAAGACCCCCAAAAATGCTGCAGAGTGGTAAGGAGTGAACTGCAGTAAAACATGCATAGAACGTATTATTTTCTTCTAGAACTTTGTTTCTCATGCTATTAAGTGAAGACCAATGGCATTCTAGAATTAAGTACAAATAAAGTGTCATGGAATCATAGGATTGGAAGGGACTTCAAGGGTTATCTAGTCCAACTCCCTGCACAATTATAGGATGCGTTATTCCCATGCTTCCCTAGAAAAATGCCTATCCAGTTTCTCCTTAGAAACCTCAAATCAAGGAGATTCCACAACTTCCCTGGACAGCTTGCGCCACCATACTGATCTGACAATAAGGAAGATTTTTCTGACGTTTAATCTTAATTTGCTTTGCTCCAGTATAAAGCCATGGCTCCATGTCCTACCGTCCTCAGCAAGGGAGAACAATTGTTCTCTCCCTTCTTTATAGCGGCCTTTCAAATATCTGAAAACTGCTATCATTCACCTGCTTAATCTCCTTTTCACCAACATAAACATACTGAATTCTTTTAATTTTTCTCATGTACCTTGCATTTCAACCCTTTATCATTTTTGTTGCTTGCTTCTGGATATTTTCCAATTCCTTCACATCCTTCTTAAATTGCACAGCCAAGAACCATACACAATATTCTAGCTGAGGTCTTTACAGCACTGTGTAGAGTGATACTATTACCTCCTGTGTCTTATAAACAGTACTCATGTTACTGCATGATACATTTGTATGCTTTTATTTATTTATTTATTTATGTTTTTGCACCTGCATCACAGGGCTGCCTTAAGTTGAATCTTTATCCCAACCCCCTCATACTGCTGAGCAATGCTGATAAGCTAATCATGTTCCATTCTGCATTTATGCATTTGGTTTTCTTCCCTAGGTTTAACACCTTGTATATGTCTTTGCTGAATTGTCTGGTACTTAGTTCTCTAGTCTATCAAGAACTTTTTGAAACTCACTCCTATTCTTCAAAGTATTTGCAGAAGTGGATGAGCAAGCTGGGGGGGAGATGACAATTTTCAGGACCTAGGAAATTGGACAAAGGGATTTCACTGCCAAGATTTTAGATAT